CCCCCCCCAGGGCCCTTCTAAGGGTGAGGGTCACCGAGAGGATGGAGGGAGCCCGAGCCTGGCGGGAAGGGAGCCCAGGGGCGAATGCGCTCCTCCGGCCAGGGGGAGGACATGGACCACGGAGCCCGCTCGGGGCCCAGTGGGCAAACGCTGTGGTCTGGGTTTCTGGAGCCTTCGGAGGAAATGAGGGGAGACGGGGGCGGGGGGGAGGACGCAGCTGTGTGCATTCTCCAGCTTGGAGACTAGAAGCTTACACAATCCAACCTGCACTGGGGCTGGGATGGCCTGCTGTCGACCTGGCCCAAGAAGAAAGGATGGCACTGGCCAAAGCAGTGGTTACCCACCTGTAAGCTCAGCAATTTGGGAGGCTGAAGCAAGAGGACTGTGTTTTGAGGCCAGCCTGAGCTACACAGCAAGACCTTGTCTCAGAAATTCACATTGCCTGAAGATAATAGCTCCATGTTAGGGCATTTGCCTAGTATGGATAATGGGTTTTAAGCCCCAGCACTAAAAACAACAACAAAAGAAAGGCCAGGCTGAGGGCCTTGGTGGGCCCCAGCACCCCAGGCTGTTCATAGCCGGTTATTTTTCAATCAACGTTGAAAATTAAAAGTCCTTGGTGTACACCAGTGGCTCACACCTATAATCCTAGCTACTCAGGAGGCTGAGATCTGAGCATCATGGTTTCAAAACAAACTGGGCAGGAAAATCTGTGAGATACTATCTCCAATTAAGCACCAAAAAAAGCCAATTTAGCACACACACACACACAAAAGCCAGAAATGAAGCTGTGGCTCAGCGGTAGCCTTGAGCACAAAAGCTCAGGGACAGACAGCACCCAAGTCCTGAGTTCAAGCCCAAAGACAGCAACCCCCCTCCCCTCAAAAATAAATAAATACCCTAAGACTCTGGGTCTGGCAGGGAGAACCAGAGTCTGAACTTCTGTAATCCTATAGTGTAGCATCAGGCTACAAGTGAACTTTACTCCCTTTGGCTGTTTGAATTTTGTAGCCAAAGTAAGCGTTACTTTGGTAATTTAAGAGATCTCTTCATCAAAGAAGTCAAACTCCCAAGTCCCCACAGCGGTGGTGCCTGGCGCTTCTGGTGACCAAAGGGGTCTAGGATTGAGTCCACTGTCCAGGTTTTCAAGATGCTCATCAGGAAAGCATGCTGGAGCACAAGCAGACAGTGCCAATCACCATTCCCAGGAATCCAAGCGATTTGGATCCTGGGAACTGCCCCCAGACCCTTCTCAGTAAATCCACAAAATCACATTTTTCCCCCTTTATATGATGGATTTTCCACAAAGTAAAAAATCAAGATGAGTAAAGATGTGGTTTGTAGATAGCGCCCGACAGAGCAGACCAGCGGCGAAGCGTCACACCACTCGGGCCTATAAAAGCTGCCACCCAGAAGCTAAGGCCACAAGCGCCACCCAGCCTGGGGCAGCTTATGGTGTGCATCCGTTCCTCAGCCCTGCTGTGTTGATTTTGGCTCTCATGGCACTCTTGGTAATCATGATCCTTGCTCTTACCTGCTGTGGTGGCCTCGCGGCCCCGAGTTCCACACCCATGTTGGTGGCACTGAAGGAACTCATTGAGGAGCTGCACAACATCACGCAAGACCAGAAGGTGAGTTAGGGGCTGGTTGGGGACCTCTCAGAAAGAGATTGTGAGCAGGGGTGGGGTGGAGGGGCTAGGCAGGCTAGGAGGGAGGAAGACAAGCCAGTCTAGAAACGGATCTGTACAGTGTCTTTGGGTTTTCTGGGCCTGGACACCTGTTCCTGAGCTTTTTAAGCCCAGGGCTAGCGATCTACCACAGTACTATTTCTGGCTTTGGGGTGGTTTGTTGGAGATAAGAGTTTCCTGGACTTTCCTGCCTGGGCTGGCTTCAAACTGAGATCCTCAGATCTCAGTCTCCTGAGTTGCTAGGATTATACAGTTGAGCTATGAGTGCCCAGTGGCCAGTTAGCCATTCAGTGTCTTAGCGAACCCCATTCAATAGATTTATTATAGGGTCAGCTCTGCTTCCCCAGTGGGTATCTGAGCATTGATCCTACACCAGACCCAGTGTTAACACCTGCAGAGTTAGACATCTGGCCCTATTTGTCTAAGGTTCGGTGAGGATCACTGACAGGGGCCAGATTGAAACCCAGGCCTGGCTGACACTGGAGCATCGGCGATCTTAGCACTCAATACCACCTCTCATTGGAGGGGTCCTGGCCAGCAATGGCCCCGACCGTCCCATTGTAGCCTCAGTCATCCTGCTGGTGGCTATGGTGAGCTTTGAATAAGCCTTATCCATTACCAATTGTCACTCTATTTTCCTGTGTCAGTTTTAATACCACACACAGACTTCGAAGCAGAACAAGAGCTGGGGCTCAGAGGGCTAACTACTGTCAGGCCTGTGCTGTTGGGGATGACGTAGGCCCAGTCTGTTCGGGGAACCTGGGGCGGTCTGGGGCTGTCACTGGTGCCCTGCTCACTGTCTCTTTGCTCCCTCAGACTCCTCTCTGCAATGGCACCATGGTGTGGAGTGCTAACCTGACTGCTGGTGGGGTAAGGACCTGGAACTCCTGGGGTGAGGTCACGGGGGCTGCGGGCCTTGGGCTTGGCATCCCTGGACCCCCATCCACCTGTTCACTGGCTTTCCCAGACCCATCTCCCTTCACCAGGCCTCTCCGGCCTGGATTCTTCTAAACACCTTGAAGGGAAGGCGGCTTCCCTGAAGCCAGGCCTGATCCCCCCCGACCCCGTGGTCCTCTCCCCCACAGTACTGCGCAGCCCTGGCAGCCCTGACCAACTCCAGCTGTAGTACCATCCACAAGACCCAGAAGATTCTGAATGGACTCTGCACACACAAGGCCTCCACTGGGGTGAGTGTCCCTTACCACCCGACTCCCCCCCCCCCAGCCTGATTGGATTTCTAGGGGAACAAGGCTTAAACATCCCCCTGGTCCGCCCCCCCCAGGAACTCACAGAGCTGTGGCTGTAGGGCTCCTGACTCATAGCTAAGCCTCCATTTCCATATCTGTAAAATACAAGTAGTGAAAGCTGGACACCCGTAAGCTTGTGCCTGTAACCCTAGTTGCTCAGGAGGCTGAGATAGGAGAATCACGCTTTGAAGCCAGACCAAGCAAGAAAGTCTGTGAGAGTCTTTATCTTCAATTCACTATCAAGTAACGCTGATCATGGGAGCTGTGACTGGCCTTGAGCAAAAAGAGCTTAGAGAACCCAGCACTAGTGCCTCACACCTGTAATCCTAGCTACTCAGGAGGCTGAGATCTGAGGATCGCGGTTCAAAGCCAGCCCGGGCAGCAAAGTCCAGAAAACTAGAAGTGGCGCTGTGGCTCAAGTGGTAGCGCCTAGCCTTGAGCTGAAGGACAGCGCCCAGGCTCTGAGTTCAAGCCCCAGTGCTGGCTGACGCGCGTGTGTGCGCGTGCGCACACACACACACACACACACACACACACACACGGGTAGTGACAGCCACCAGATGGGGACTTTCGGATGAGTATGATGAGATGCTCCCTGGAAAGTCCCTGGCGTCCCACTGATGCGATGTCTCCTTTGTCCTACAGCAGGCCCCCAGCCTCCGAGACACCAAAATTGAAGTGGCCCAGTTCATAAAGACCCTGCTCAGATACTCCAAACAACTCTTTCGTAACGGGACGTTCAACTGAGGCACGCCATCAGGCAGAGCCCAGCCCTGACTGTTTCAGACAGGAATATGTTTCTCTTTTCAATGCCAGATGTTAATTGGGGGGGGCGTGGGGGGGGGAGAAGAGGGGGGTGATCATCTGAGCTTGGATCTCAGTCTGCCACCACTGAGCCCATCCCTTTTTCCTGGTGCCCGGGCTCAGCCTGGCGGCATCTTCTGCCCAGGATTCTACGTGCTGGGACCCGGGTCCTAGAACCAGCTACAGCATTACAGCCAGTCCTGTCCTGGGAGACGGGGGCTCACTTCACCCATGGGTGGGGGAGGCAGGGAACAGCTCAGGCTCCATTTCTTCTCGGTCTTATTTATCCTTATTTGTGTGTTATTTAAATGAGTGTTTGTTAGTACGGTGTTGGGGAGACCGTTGCTGCCTAGGCCCCAAGACCTGGGCTTCCAGCACTATAGCCAGTGGATGTTGGTAATTATTACTGTACACACAACTCTGCTACCTCACTGGGTCTCACCCAAGGCACGGGGCAGGAGAGAGACCAGAACAGCGATCTGCCAGCCCTCAGCCCTCAGTAATTTATTCTCATGTCCTTGTATTTAAAGTTAAGTATTAAATATGTTAGCAAAGAGTAAAATAATATATGGGAACACCGGCCTGCCACATGGAAAGGGGAAGGGGACTGGGGGGGGAGAGCAGGGGGGGAAGGAGGGGGGACAGGGAATTGACCAAGTTGTTACACGGATGGTCCGAAATAAAGATGGCGACAGATAGGCCTGATGGGTGGTGTTTGCCTTTTCTTTTGGCTCTTGGCTCAGATCTGTGTCCTGTAGGAGGCAGGCTGGCTGCAGGAGGGGGGAGGGGGGAAGGGCAGATAGCCTAGAGGAAGCCCCCCACCTACTGCCTGCCACCCACAGCAAAGGGGAGGAAGCCTGGGCGGGGATGGCGGGGTTTGAGGAGGTGTCTGGGGCACACGGGGACCTGGGTGGGTATCTCCTGATGACTGTGTCTATACCACCCACATCTCAGGATTCCCCCCAAGGCCCCAGAAGGAAGGCACCTGCGGTGTGTGGGGGGAGGGGGGTGGGGGGGGAGGGTGGCTTCCCAGAGGTCACACTGAGAAGCTGGGGAGGAGCTTGAACTCAAAATCCCAACCAAAGCCCCGGCTTCCCCTTTCCCTTCCTTATTAGCATATATGAATTACAGGATTGGAGGGTTTTCATCCACACATATAATATACTTTGATCTTCTTCACCTTCCCTATCACTTTTTTCCCCTCCTTCCAGCCTCCCCCCTTTAAAGCACACTTTAAAGCCTTCTTGCTTTATTATTTGTTGTGTGTACGGTGGTCCTGGGCCTTGAACTCAGGGACTGAGCACTGTCCCTGTGCTTTTGTGCTCAAGGCTGGTGCTCTACCACTTGAGACACAGCTCCACTCCCAGCTTTTTGGTAGTTAATTTAGATATAAGAGCCTCATGGAAGCCAGGCGCTGGTGGCTCACACCTATAATTCTAGCTACTCAGGAAGCTGAGCTCTGAGGATCATGGTTCAAAGCCAGCTGGGGAAGGAAAGTCTGTGAGACTCTTATCTCCAATAAACCACTAGAAAATCAGAAGTGGGGGCTGGGAAGGTGGCTCAGTGGTAGAGCGCTTGCCTTGCATGCCTGAGGCCCTGGGTTCGATTCCTCAGCACCACATAAGCAAAAAGAATAAAAGCCGGAAGTGGCGCTGTGGCTCAAGTGGTAGAGTGCTAGCCTTGAGCTGAAGAGCTCAGGGACAGTGCCCAGGCCCAGAGTTCAGGACCCACGCCTGGACACAAAAAAAAAAAAGAAAATCAGAAGTGGTGCTGCGGCTCAAGTGGTAGAGCACTTACCTTGAGCTGAGGGCTGAGGGACAGCGCCCAGGCCCAGAGTTCAAGCCCCATGACAGACAAAAAAAGTCTCATGGACTTTCCTGCTGGGACTGGCTTTGAACCTTGATCTTTAGATCTCAGTTTCCTGAGTAGCAATTATTACAGCCATTAGCCACCAGTACCTGGCTTTGTGTGTGTGTGTGTGTGTGAGAGAGAGAGACAGACAGACAGACAAATGAACAGACACAGAGAAACAGAGAGACAGAGTTGTGTACTGGGACTTAAACTTACAGTACTGGGCTCTCACTTGTTTTTCTGCTCAAGATTGATGCTCTAGGGGCTGGGAAGGTGGCTCAGTGGTAGAGTGCTTGCCTTGCATGCATGAGGCCCTGGGTTCGATTCCTCAGCACCACATAAGCAAAAAGAAAAAAGCTGGAAGTATTGCGTGGCTCAAGTGGTAGAGCACTAGCCTTGAGCTGAAGAGCTGAGGGACAGCGCCCAGGCCCAGAGTTCAGGACCCACGACCAGATCCCTCCCAAAAAAAAACAAAGACTGAAGCTCTAGCACTTGAGCCACACCTCTATTTCCTGCTTTTTGCTGGTTAAGTGGAGGTAAGTGTCTCACAGCTTTTCCTGCCCAGGCTGGCTTCAAACCAAGATCCTCAGATCTCAGCCTCCTGAGTGGCTAGGATTATAGGTGTGAGCCACTGGCACTGTTTTGTGAAAGCCCATACTCTTAACTGTTCTGCACCTCTGTCCAAAAGCCACCTTCCTGACCACACTGTCTCCTCTAGAATACTGTCACCTGTCTGTCCAAGCGTCACTCCCTTGTTACTAATCCATTCAGTCCCTGGACCCCAGCCACCAGGGAGTACACAATCACCCCCTTGGTGAACAAAGAGGCATGTAGCTCTGGAGTGGGCAGTTAAGGCCAAAGGCCCCAGGTGGACTTCACTTGAGAGCCAGGCTTTAAAGAAATTAGTGCATAAATCAACTGCACAATAGAGCTTTTGGAGCCAGGCGTCGGTGGCTCACCCCTGTAATCCTAGCTACTCAAGAGGCTGAGAAATGACGATAGTACTCCAAACCAGTCTGGGCAGGAGAATCTATGAGACTGTTATTTCCAATAAAAACTGGAAGTGGAGCTGTGGCTCAAAGTGGTAGAGCGCTAGCCTTGAGTGGAAAAAGCTCAGAGACAGCACCTGGGCCCTGAGTTCAAGCCCCATGTTGTGCCAAAAAAAGAAAAAAAATCTTTTGTTGTGGTATTTACATATAAGCATATACATACTTTGATCAAATTCACCCCATCTGAGGACTGGGAAGGTGGCTCAGTGGTAGAGTGCTTACCTTGCATGCATGAGGCCCTGGGTTTGATTCCTCAGCACCACATAAGCAAAAAAAAGCCAGAAGTGGTGGTGTGGCACAAGTGGTAGAGCACTAGTCTTGAGCTGTAGAGCTGAGGGACAGCGCCCAGGCCCAGAGTTCAGGCCCCACAACTGACAAAAAAAAAAAACAACACCCCATCTATATTACTTCTCTCTCTCTCTTTTGGTCGTGGGGCTTGAACTCTGGGCCTGGGCGCTGTCCCTCAGCTCTTCATCTCAAGGCTAGTGCTCTACCACTTGAGCCACAGCACCACTTTTGGTTTTCTGGTGGTTTGTTGGAGGTAAGAGTCTTATGGAGTTTCCTGCCTGGGCTGGCTTTGAACTGTGATCTTCAGATCTCAGCCTCCTGAGCCGCTAGGATTACAGGCGTGAGCTACCAATGCCCGACATTACTTTTCTTACACACTCTCTCCTCTCTGACTCAGAACAGAGCTCTGCCTTCTTTGTTGTTAGGTCTCAGCAAGCGCCAGCTACAGGTCAGGCCGGTCAGCGTCTTTGCTCAGTGCCCAGAGCAGAAGGTGGCCCCAGAAGGGTGGACACCTTTGCAAAGGGTGAAGCACTCTGAACGGCAGGCCGGCCCAGCGCCTGTGCTGTGAGAGCTCATGGGTGATAGTTGGGGACATGGCGGGGACTTGACGGGGGAGGGGAGGAGGGAAGGGACACCCCCCAGGGAAGAGGCAAGGGAGAAGCGGAGGCTGGCAGTGCCACTAGCTGAGCCGCTCATCAGCCTTGGGCAGGGGGGCGGGAATTGTGCAGGACAGGGGGGCGGGACTGGGTCTTGCGGATGCCAAGGGCAGGGCAGCCCCTAAGTCCTGCCTGTGGCCAGCAGGGAACTAGCCACGTGGACTAGTGACTGCCAGGTACCGTGGCACATCCAGAACTAGCATCAGAAGGAACCCCAGTGGCCCCAAAGGGGGACACTGCCCTGCAGCCGCCCCCCTCTGCTGGCAGTGGAGGCTGCTCTACGAGATCAAAGCCAGGAGGTAGTTATAAAGGGGTAATGATTTTTCTTTACACCCAAAAACCCCAAACCCAAGAATTCAGCAAAGCAGTGCTCACACGGACCCTCGTTCTCTCTACTGATCAAGGCGTAAGTCTGTCTTGCAGAATACAAGCCAGACAGCTCTTCTAGAGAAATCACTGGGACTGGCTGGAGGGAAACTCCCCAGGGGCCATTTCCCACCCTTTGGACTTGGGCTCCGGGAGGGTGGAGGGATGGTGCGCCTCGCCTGAGGGGGGCGGGGGGGGGCGGGGAGGACGGGAGGGCTATGCCAGGCTCTACCACTAGGGGGCCACAGCCTGCCACATCCTCAGCACCAACCACCACAGCCCTCATCCATCCACCACCCTTAGGAGACTGTCCCCAGCTGTGAGCTGAAATGGGCCCAGGGCCCCCCCAAGGGTGAAGGGTGCTTTACACGCAGCCATAAAACTAAGACAGCGCTGGTGGCAAGAGGGAAAGAGAAGGGGAAAGAGGATGGGGTGGAGAGGAAGAGAAAGGGAGAAGAGGAAAGAGGGAAGGAAGGAGGGAGAGAGACAGACCTCGGTGTCAGGTTGTTAGCTGCAGAGCTGGTGAGAGGCCCCTAGCATTTGCTAGTATTTGTTTGTGTTGCCAATCCTGGGGCTTGAACTCAGGACATGGGAACTGTCCCTGAGCTTTTGCTCAAGGCTAGCACTCTACCACTTGAGCCACAGCGCCACTTCAGGCTTTTTCTGTGCTTGTGGTACTGAGGAAGCGAACCCAGGGCTTCACTACGAAGCCACATTCCCACCCCTGGACCCC